TTAAGTTGGGTATTCTGAACCATGATGCGCTTGTGATACTGTATTTCGCCAAAGAATCTCAAATATCGAGCGAAATCGAAATCCATTTAATAAAATCCGAGTAAAGGCCAAGCTCTCACAGCTGTTATTTAGAAATGGGTCACAACATTGTGTTTAGGAATTTTTGATTTAATGGGAATGCGGAAAACCTCAGCGCAGTTGGCAGTCCACAGTGCGACATTAAGACCGATGCATGGATAAACGCTAGGCACAAATTCCTTATCCGCACATTCATAATCGAACATTAGCTTGTGGTTGCCGATTGTCTTCAGATCCTCAATTCGTCGAAGTGTTACCTCAGCGCCCTCAAATATTGCGCCGCACTGCAGTTGTTCCTCATGTTTGCTACATGCCTGAAAAGCAGTAGTCACAAATTTGTACACACGTCAAATGACCAAATTTCGTTCAGTAGTCACGGTCAGCTTTTCAATAAGTATAGCCAGTATCCCTTACTTATCAGGTTTTATTATCACTCAGATATAATTTTGATTGTAGCCTAAACTTCATGGATGCATGACTTCATGGATGTTAATCTTGAAAGCATAGTGTCGCCTTATTAGTGAGATGCGATCATTACAGTTTTTGCCAAAAAGATGTTTTCTGCTAGAAGCATGTGCCGTTGTCGTGATGAACGAAATTCGGTAAGGCGAATTGATCCATGATAACAGCAAAATCGCCAAGACACAACTTTTTAAAGGGAAGAAAAACGTTGGATGAGCGAGGAGGAGCGGAAAAAGACAAAGCGGTTGGAAATCCGTTTCACGCAGCAATATTTTTGTATCAGTTCTAAAAATTCTAGATTTTTTAACAAGCGATTTCATAATTTCCCTGACCTAAGCAAAACTTTATTTTTCTTATTTGGAATGCTTGAATCAGGTTCTCCAGCTCTCAACTTCTCCAGCTTTTACATTGAACAACCTTGCGCTGCCTGGTGATTAGCTTGCTGGCGATCTTGACATTTGTTCCATCCCCTGGAGAGATTACCAGCATAACAGTTCTTCCGAGAGAACCACTTGGCAATGCTTTCTCTTCTCGTTCAGCTCCTCATTTGACATATGCTCATCATATACACGGCTGATGGGAAGCCGCATTGATGATTGCTATTCCTAACCACTGCTATTTACAGCTAAGGAATGAAACACAAATTAAATCCAAACATACTTTCTTGTACTTGATGTTTAGACTGATGATCCTTTATCTTCTATTCTATCAGTGTTAAGCGCCACCACGTCTTCACGATCGTAGTCACTCTTAGACCATGATAGTCTTTTGCCAATTAGAAATAAGCTCTTACCTCGCCGACAAAAAGTTCATATGTTCTTGACATTTTAGTATTTTTTTTGCATAATGTTATGTCTTGTCAGATAATATCATATTATCACATATTCTCTTGGCAAAAATTTGCCTAAATTTTAATGATGGAAAGGACGCAGTCCTGTCTAATGTGCTTGCAGAGAATAGAGCACTTCACGTTTTGAGTTATATCCTTTTCGTGTTTTTTCTTCACGTGGTGCTTGCATGAAGCCATCAATATTACATAAGGAAAAAAAGAAATATTTTACCATATGAGTGATTTCGCGCATAAACTGCACCGGGACTGTGAAAAACTGTGCGTTGAATTGCTTCAGGCCAATTTTCATCAGTAACTGGACATCTTCCGGACGACTTTCTGCTTCTGCACGTGCAATCATGCGTGATTTATGCACCGAACCGATATTGTTACATTTCTCCAAGCCATCCAGGTACAAAGAACGTCTAAAACATTTGCTGTGTTGCCAGTGTTTCACAGTAGGATGAAAGCAAGCACAACAGTTTTGGAGAGCTGCGTAAGAACCACGCGTACCTGGGGGTTGAATGTGAAACTTCAAGTCGTACCTGAACAGGGAACTTGAAAAGTCGTACTTGAATTCTCTTAAAACTTCAGATTTCCAGCTTTTTTAATTCCCGAGTACAAAAATGTTAAAAAAAGTTGTAGTCAAAATTTCAATTACCTAACCATGAATAAAAGTTTTATATGCCAAAGAATATTGAAACCGCTCGGGAATCCGTGTAGGATTTTTGAGCAGTGATTTTTTACTGGAATATGAAAAACTTTATGCACTTGTGCTGAGCAAAAACAACCCCAACCTCTTTTTTGCACTGCTCAGTCCAATCGATTCCGAGATATAATCAATTTTTGCTGAAAATAAATGCATAAATTATTTGTCTGTTCACATACGTCATCAAAACCATCATCAAACAGATTACAGCCTTTCTACATGTAAGTTTACTTTTAATTACCACTTAATTTTCATTTAAACTCTTTCCCTTTTTCCCTCTCAACAACTTTTTTGCAAAAATTTCGCTAATTGACAAGATGAGACTACACCAGATGCTCTGCCCGTGCATGTAGCTTAGGGATGGAATATGGTCGGACTGCTTTTGAATTTATCGTAAAATCACGTTCTGAGTTCATTCTTTCCTTTTCTAATTTCTTATTTCCATTTCTGTTTTGTGGGACCGTACATATGAATATAAGTTCAGTCAGAAAGAAACTTAGACTTCATCGGAATTTATCGTATTACCGTGTTCACATTCTCCTCTTCTAAATCTTTCTTCCTTTTGTATTTTATCATTTCAAAATATGTGACTTTCCACCGAGCTATTCCAAGACCCTTTACAATCAATTTTTTTTTT